GCAGAGTACCTTGCGATGGGTGATGGTGTGAAGGAGGCTCTGTTTGTAAATGGAATGCTTCAGTTCCTGCGGCCGAGTGTGAAGCCGCGTAAGATAGACGTCCTTGAGGACAACGAAGGAGCGATTGCGCTCGCAGAAAACCCGCTGAGCTCGAGTAGGAGTAAGCACATCGACGTGAGGCATCACTTCCTTAGGAATTTGACGGAGGAAGGTGTGATCGAGGTCACGCATGTCCCAAGTAAGGAGCAGCATGCGGACATCCTCACGAAGGCTCTACCGAGAGACCTTTTTGAAGTTCACCGTGACTTTGCATTGGGATCTAGGAAGTAGGAGTCTGAATTGTTTTGTTGTTTTGCTTTGATACTTGATGTACTTGGTCTGGTTGATACAACAGCCCCTAGGGAGGGTGTTCGTGGTAGAGGCAGTATGTATCGACTGAGTTGCGTAGAATATCTGATTGGACGATTTGAATACGCGGAACAATGTCGATCCTCTGTAGATTGTTGAGCTACCGACATAAGGAACGTTCGTGGTCCTTGTGGTTGGAATAATCTTGTGGACGCTGCGCTAGTCTGAGCATGGTATCTTAGTTCAGGTAATCATCCCGAGAGTTTGTGGAGTGTAGGAAGTCGCAATGGTCCGAGGACTGGTACTGAGATACTGTAGAACGTTGCTGGTGCTCCGGAACGGTTCCGGAACGTGTCCGTTGGTTCGTTGGTTTCCAGGAGTTCGCAGGGTATCGAGGACACGGCTTGCACATCGTGCTCTCTCCACTTTCTGACCAGTCTCTCCTGACAAGGGTCTCTTTAATTCAACTACTTTTCCCCAGAAGCTACCGCTTTATCAACACCGTCTCAGCTCCTGCTGCGAAGCCAACCACATCCTCCCGGAGGAACAGTGCGGATTTCGACCCGGGCGATCCACCGTCGAAATGCTGTTCGTCGTGCGCCGCCCCCAGGAGCTGGGGCGGAGAAAAAAAGAACCGCTCTGCATGTGCTTCGTCCACCTGAACAAGGCGTATGATTCGGTGGAACGAGAGATGCTATGGAACGTGCTGGCCAGGGCCGGGATTCCCGCGAAGATTATCAAAGTCATCCGCCAAGTCCACAATGGAATGCGGGCCCGGGTGCGCATGAACGACGGAGAACCATCCGATTGATTCTTCGTCACACAGGGCGTGCGACAAGGATGTGTGATGTCCCACTGCTGTTCAACACCTTCTTCGCCGCGGTCCTCGAGGTCGATGTCATCCGATTCAGCGAGGATGATGTTGTTCTGCGGAGCCTGGTATGCTTGGAGGAGGGGAAGACGGAATCGGGGGAGGAGACACCCCTCGACCGAGCCCGGAGGGCAGTATGGAGGATGCTGTATGCCCATGATGCCGGCATCGTATCGAGGCCTGCAGTAGGACTGGCGAGAATGATGGCCATCATTGTTGAGGTGTTCGGGGAGTTCGGGCTGACGGTATCGGAGAAGAAGACGGAGACGCTCCTGATGCGCGCGAAGGACAAACCGATTACAACACCACAGCCCTCCCCGCCTCCACCGCTGACCATCGAAGCCGCGGGACAGAAATACGCCCAGACGACCGAGTTTCGGTACCTCGGTGGCCTCGTCAACAGACATGGCGACCTCACCCGGTAGATCAACTACAGGAGTAGAGGAGCGTGGGCGTGCCTCAGGCGATATGAGCGGGAGCTCTTCGACAGACCGAAAGCGCCGTTCCGACTCAAGATCCGCCTGCTCCAGGCGGAGGCGATGGAGGCACTGCTGTAAGGCTGCATGACATGGTCACCGCTCAGCGGCCACTACCGTACGCTGCGGTCGATACACCACCGACTGCTCCTTCGAGTTATCGGGTGCAAGCGCAAGAAAGACACCTACCGGCAGCTTTCCTACGCCCAGACGCTGAAGAGGGTCGGATGCCAGAGCGTTGAAGCCACGATCAGACAACGACGCCTTCTGTTCGCGGGAGCATTGTCAAGGCAGCCGGATGGGCAACTCCCGAAACGACTGATGTTCGGCGAACTGGCAGGGGGGGGAGAAGCGACGTAGGGGGGGACAGGAACAGAACTGGCCGAAGTGTGTGCTCGACGACCTGAAGGCATTCGGGGCCGACCACGGATCTACGACAACCGATCCATGTTGCTTCGGAATCCCGGTGCCAAAAGACACGGCACCAAAATTTGAGTGGACGGAAGCCGCGAAGGTAGAGGGGGGAGTACCCTGGCATGCGGCGGTGCTGCAGGGAACTGAGAGGTTGCATGGTACAAGAAGGAAAGAGGCCAGCCGACAACGAGCGCTCAAACGAGACCACAAGCCAACAACCAATGGGGCGGGAAGGGAACAGCAGACGGACGAGACGGCGAGGGAAGAAAGCGAACGAGAAGAGACCGACCGAGGGGCGCGATACGTGCCGGATTGAATTTCTTTCAGCCAATTCCCCCCCCAACGCTGCACCATTACACCAACCCCCCAAGAGTGATGAAGTACCATTTCAATGAATCGCTGGTCGGTGGCCGTGTTTGCGTGTTTGCTTGTTCGTTAGTGGTCTTCCCACCGTGTGCCTTGTTCTGTTTCTTATTTCTTGTTTCGTCCGGGTCCCTCTTTGTTCTCTCTTCTTGTTTTGTCTAGTTCCTTCTTGTTTCCTTTTGTATGTTTCTCTGTTCTCTTTTTTCTCTTTCTCTCTCTTTCTTTTCTCTCCTCTCTTTCTTCTGTGTCAGATTGCCTCGCCTCTCCTTGCGTTGTGAAGTACCAAGATTGAACCAAGGGGGTGTACCTCCTTCTTTCTGGCCCGTGATGCTGACCCCTAGTCTCAGTTGTTACCTCGCTGCTAAAGTATTCACGCGCTGTGATAACTGGAAGAGCCGATGAAGAAAACTCACTTCTTCTTAACTCTTGCAAGGCAGCAGCAGTAGCTGTGACTCGCGGTTGGATAGGAACTGAGACGATGGGGCTCCGAACGAGCTGCAGCATGAGGGGACAGGAGAATATGTGCCCTGGTTAATCCTACCGCGGGGAGCTACAACTTCCCGGAACGGGGAGTTATGTTTCCCCGAGAATGGTTCTCAGGAACCATTCTCTATTCTGTTCCGCCTCAACTTCTAATCCTACAACACTAGCCCACCCTGGAGGTTCTCATCGCAGATACTTTAAACTTCGGGGGTTGGTGGACAATTATTGAACCCCAGAAACAAAAGTATCGAGGATGTGGAGCTCCAAAACAACACAATTCACCCTCCCACACCTCTCACTCGATGAGTCGTAAGACCATCGTTTGACCTCTAAAAGAAAAGAAGGCAACGAAAAGGATAAAACAACGCGCTACGCACAGGTTAAACAGGACCAGAAAAGATCTGAACGCGAGCAGAGAGAGAAGAATAGACAACAGAAAGGAAAAAAAAAAGACATACGCATCGTCAAAACATCGAAAAAAGCACGTCGTCGGAACTACAAAAATAAAACAAGGAACGTCGTCGGAATGACGAAAAAGAAAGAGCTTGGCCGAAAGTATGAAAATGGGATGTCGTCGGAACGACGAAAAGGCCACAGCCTACCAAAAGATGCCAAACAATCGCCACGGCAGCGCGCGAGTACTAAGCTGGGTCTCAAGACACCGACAGACCGCAAACGGAATAAAAAGGCGAAAAACCGAACAGTCCGTACGGGAAGAAAAGGGAAAATATGTCATGACATCAGACGAAGGCCGACAGAACCTACGTACGGCAAAAACACGAAAAAACCAGCAACCAAGCATGCCATCTTAATGAGAGCGCACGAAGTCGTCGGGCAAAGAATCGTTCCCAACGCCGCCACGCGACATGTCGATGTTGTGAAGAATACCCTTGAAAAGGACGCTGCCGCTTTGAACTTGGAGACACCAGGATCCGGAGACGGTGGTTGCGACGGTGGAGGCGGACGGCAGGAAGGGCGAGCTTGACAGGTCCAGGATGGTCCAAGAAGCGGACGACGTAGTAGTCGGACGGAAAAGGCGGTCCAGAAATCTTGCCTAGCCACCAGAGTCCATCTTGCGTCTCGTACCATAAGGAAGCACCCACGGGCAAAGAGTAGTGGTGAAACGACGATCCCACGTAGACCGGGGGACGAGCGAATATCCCGAAGGCAAGGCTCGTTCCCCTTAGGCACGCGCCAATTCACGGGTGGCCGCACAAATTCGCATCGTCCAATAACGGCGATTCGTTTGGCGGTGTTGGTCCGGCCAACCGGTCCAGTATCGGAGAATGTGCAACTTGGAATGTTGCAGATCCAGCTCACGGTCCCAAGAAGGGCGTAAAAGGCCTTTCCAATGTGTCTGGTATAAAATCACCATTGTGCCACCACGACCGCGGACGGACTGGTGGCCGCTACTGCGTTCAACCTCGAGACGATCGACCGGAGTCCAGACATCGGTTTCCGTAGCATGGTAGGGAAGAGATTTATTCGCATTAGAATTCAACACATACGGGGTGAGACCCGCAGGAAGAAAACGTGGCAAGTCGTCGGTATCGTGTGGATTAGCACAAGGCTTACAACGCACTACATACACACGACGTTTTGAGTCTTGGCCCGGCTGATTCGACGGGAGGTCCAAGTATAGCAACTTAGACGCCAAAGGATGGCCATCGGGGGCTTCAGAACACGGGCCCACCGCCAGAATATTGAACGGGCCAGTCCAGAGCAGAGACAATTTGGCTTTGAGTACCTTGTCATCTGCACCTGAACGAACACCTTGGCGAATGGTAGATTCGGAGTTGTAAATCCAGACCCATCCACCGACAGTGTAAGAGGAAAGCTTGCGTAAGGCATCCGAGAGGGCGGAGTTCCGCCGCTCGATCCGTGAGACGGACAAAAGGTGCTGTGGACGCACCAAGTCGTATGTACGACGTTGACGGTCAGCAGCGAGATCGCAATACTCGAGTTGGTCACGATGCAAACTTTGATGGCCACGAGCGTAGGGATGCTCGAAGACAGTCATCGGTAAACGCGGCAAGCGTTTCATGTGCACCTCGTTGGGCGCTAAACCATTTGCGGCCCTAATCGAATTGTTGGATGCAAACTCGACGTGTGGCAAATGAATGTCCCTATCGTCTTGCCTTTCATTGACGACCTAGCCAACATTTGAGCCATAATTTAGTGTGATTGACTCGCTCCATACCCCCGTTACCGTTGGAATGGTAAAAGCTGGTAGCCACTTTGCGAATAGCAAGACGGGCGTACACGGCTTGTGACAGTGTAGAACAAATCCGAGAGCCGTTGTCAGAAAATAGACTCAACGGCAACCCCACAATGGGATGCCGGTTGGCGAGGACGTCAGCGGTGCCTTCGGCGGTGAATTCGGCAGCGGTGACCGTGTACATATCAGCGTGGCGGCTGCAACGATCAGTGAATAGCAGAATGTAGGTGTTGCCACGAGGGGTCAACGGAAGAGGACCAAAGTAGTTCACACTCATCGATACTCCAGGGCCCGAAGGCAATGGAAGGCACAATGAAGGCCATCGACAAGTTGGCGAGATGACTTGCGGGCTTGGCATCGCAAACAATGCCGCACCCGCCATTTGGTACAGATACTCATGCCAATCCACAAACAAAAGCGTTCCAGCATACTAAGCGTGCGAGCTGCACCTAGATGGCAGGACGCATCCACGCGGCATGCTTGCATGATCCACGGGCGCACAAGCATGGGAACGTAAATCCGGATGGATTCATCATTAAGAAGGCGAGCTGCACGTCCACCAGGGCGGGTGGAAGAAGGAGACTGGGCTTTGGTCGGCTTGCGAACAAGCAAGACCAGACCGTCATCGTCAACGTGCAAGCGGCCTTTGGTAGCCAGGTCACGAATCTCTAACAGGGAAAGTCGACGAGTGAGCGGAACATGATCATCCCAGAAATCCGACGGGAGGACCGAAGGTCGACCCAGAAGGATATAACGAATTGCGGCATCACACATAAGTTCGTTACGTTGCTCGCGAACCCAATCGGCATTCGAGAAACGTTCTACAGCAGCCCGGAACTCCAATTCCGCCGAAGAGTGCAAAGCCGCCTCAATTGAAGAGGAGACCGACTCCGGAGGTGTCTGCTGCAGCCTTTGAGAAGGCAGAGCGATGGACGCCGCAGGCGGGTTCGCACGAGCGGTCGAGGCCAAACTCGGCGAGACTCCGAGGAGTTGGGAGGTGCAGGAGATCGTAGGGAGGGCGCAATCGAAGTGGCAAAGTCCACTTGAGAAGTCGGAGACACCGAAGGTAAGGAGGACGGCGTGTTCGGCGCCGACGGCATTGTCGGGGACCGTTGAGACGGTCGAGACGGGGCGAACATCCGTGTAGGGGGAGGAGACAGGTCGTCGGAAAAACCGTAATCGACAGGCGGGAGCGGCGAACCTGTCACAGCTGCTATTTTGCGGCGTGTGCATGTGGAAATCACCTGGGTGAAACCGAGGGCCCGGCGTGGAGTGACAACAGACGGAGCGGCCGAGGCAGACGCAGGCTCGAGGGCCAGAACTGTGTCAGCTGAAGGCTGTCGCCAAGAAGAGGGCCACTTGACGAGGGGGGAAACACGTTTGGGTCGAGGCCGAAGGAGCGCGCGAGGAGAAGACGAAGGTACAAGGGCCGTGAGAGGCGAAGGATCGATGCTCCAAACGCCAGGCGAAGATGTAAGGCCGGATGGTTGAACGCGCGGGCCATGGGTGCGAAAATCGACAAAGTCGGCCGCGAAGGGGGCAAGTCCACCCAAGGCCGAACTAGGAGTAGTCGGAACGAGCCCACCCAAGCCAACACCCGCGGCCTGATGGCCGAGAGGGGTAAGG